TTCAGTCTAGTTGTGGAGGATGTTGCTTCACTGGCCCATGTTGGTATTATCATTGCGCTCTTCCCGGGTGAGGCAGTCGCTCGCCAGCCATTGGACAGCTGCTCACAGCAGCTTACGGCAGCTCACAGCAGCTCATGAAAGGGCACGCCAGCTACCGGCCAGCCCAGCTGCAGCCTACGCTGTCGCCGGTGACTCACAGCAGCCCAGCTCCAGGTTGAGCTGTTGTTCACCATCTTAGCTGTAGAGGGTGCAGTGTCACTGGCCCTCATATATGGGATCCGAACTGGGGCCCTGCTGCTCAGAGCTGATGTCCCAAGCCAACTCTTAACCAACGCGCCACTCAGCTGGCCTTGGTTAGGTCAAACTTTCTTACAGAGCAGGGGTCTGTAGTTTCTGTAAAAATCCTGATAGTGGACATTTTAGGCTTTGGGGGCCTTGTGGGCTCTGTTGCAACTACTTACCTCTGCCCTTGTAGTGTGAAAGCAGCCAGGACAATATGTAAATGAGTGGACGTGGCTGTGTTTCAAGAAAACTTTATTTATGGACACTGAAACTTAGATTTCATATAATTTTCATGTATAATGAAATGTCATTCTTCTTTTGATCTTTTCTAGCCATTAAAATATTTAAAATCTATTCTTAGTTTACAGGCCTTACAAAAATCAGGAGGGGACCCGAGTAGGTTGGTGAGCAGACCACCGTGATGGGGGAAAGGACTCGGCTTATCAACCATACTCACTTCCAGCTTCCTTATTTAAGTACTCTTTATTTTTGCTTTTGGTTTGTACCTGATTTGGTTCCTCTGTCTTAGGTCAGGGTTCATATTCTTATTGTTGTCCATATTGTTTGTGAAGGGTTCCTTTGTATAGACTGTGCAGAAACCATGACTGAGTGTCTAAGAATATGTGTTCTGGGCTTGAGTTTTCTTTTGGGGTAATATTAGAATTGTGGGACTATAAACAGCTTGGCACCTAGCAGATGTGACCTGGACAAGACTTTGTCCAAGTTATTTAAGGAAGCTAGCTTTCTGTTTTATTATTTACTTTCAGGGAATGGGGATCACACTGACTTTCTCTAACTGTCATTTAAAAAACAGTATAAAAATAATGGTTTAGGGGGCGGGGTGTAGTTGATAGCAATTGATTGAATTATAATTCCTTTAATTTTTCTTAAATTTACTGTGCAAAAGAACATATTCCGTGTAAAGATAAAATGAGAAATCTGAACACTTTGTTGACTTGTTAAAAAATAAAATAAGGGACCGGCCGAGTGGCACATTGGTTAAGAGCTGGCTTGGGACGCCAGAGGGCCCTGGTTCGGATCCCACATATGAGGGCCAGTGACACTGCCCTCTACAGCTAA